GTGTGTGAGTGTGTGTGTGTGTGTGTGTGTGTGTGTGTGTGTGTGTGTTTGTGTTTGTGTGTGTGTGTGTGTGTGTGTGAAGATGCTGCTGTTTCATGTCTGGTCATCTGTGCAGAAACAACAAGAACCAAAAACCTTCTGACCATTAGTGCATTTCTCTAGTTGAGTTATTGACCAGCCCTTAAATTCCACTTTCCTATGAGTGGACTTTAATCACTAGTGACTGTACTGAGTTGCATAATGTTCTATTTGTTCTATTGCAGTTTATGCATTATTAAAAATGAACTCGGACATGATTCTTGGTAAGTGTGCTTTTGCTCGGAGAAGCGAGTGATGTAAGCCATTGCAAGCTCTGATCACATCTCTGGTGTGTTTGTGCACTCGCTGTCCAGAAACAGCGAAACTCTCGTCGCTCTGTTTGTACACACTAAAGCGGCTACAGTCTGGAAGGTGAGAGAGATCTTATTTTGGCTGTGTAATCTGCGTTGAGATAATCTATCTTGCTCTGCTGCGGTGAGACGCCTGCGAGTCGGTCTACATCAAACACACACACACACACACACACACACACACACGGAGGTCAGGTCAGATGGGGTCAGGACTCTCAACGCTATGATCTGTGCCTTCATCCAAAAACACATCCGTTTGCTCAGATGCCACACAAACACACACCACCTTTTAGACAATATCCTGGTTAATTACATACAAATAGTTTACTAAAGACGTGTACTTGCTTAATGACACATGAATACACGCCGAGTCCAAAATTAGCACTGATCAAGCACCAAATGTGTCTGCAGTCTGTCAGCACACATTGGCTGAATTGAAAGTGTCTCTCGGTGACTCGGTGCACTCAGCCCAATGGGTTCGATACACCAGATCCGTCAGGAAAATTGAGAAGAATTGCCAAGCAAACCTTTAGGAGTCTGAGTGCACCGGATCCAGCTAATGGACGTCCAGAGACAGACAAAACAGACCTTTAGGAGTTTGTCCTGTAATCACTGCGCTTTTACATCATAGACACATTATGCTTTAATAAAATTAATAATCAGTTACTGGTATAATAATAATGCTAATTATACAGATTAGACATAAATTACTATTGTACGGTAAATAAAAATATTTTATATTCTAATACTTATTATTAATATAATTATTACTATTATTAAATACTACTGTACTGTAAAATAAATGGAATATTTAACGTAGTATTTGTATAATAAAATATAATATTAATAATAAAGTGTCATTTTAATAAAAATTAAATCTTAAAATAAATATAATAGCTAAATAAATTTATTTATAAATGCATGAATAATCATGAACTATATTATCTGTGCCTTCATCCAAAAACACATCCGTTTGCTCAGATGCCACACAAACACACACCACCTTTTAGACAATATCCTGGTTAATTACATACAAATAGTTTACTAAAGACGTGTACTTGCTTAATGACACATGAATACACGCCGAGTCCAAAATTAGCACTGATCAAGCACCAAATGTGTCTGCAGTCTGTCAGCACACATTGGCTGAATTGAAAGTGTCTCTCGGTGACTCGGTGCACTCAGCCCAATGGGTTCGATACACCAGATCCGTCAGGAAAATTGAGAAGAATTGCCAAGCAAACCTTTAGGAGTCTGAGTGCACCGGATCCAGCTAATGGACGTCCAGAGACAGACAAAACAGACCTTTAGGAGTTTGTCCTGTAATCACTGCGCTTTTACATCATAGACACATTATGCTTTAATAAAATTAATAATCAGTTACTGGTATAATAATAATGCTAATTATACAGATTAGACATAAATTACTATTGTACGGTAAATAAAAATATTTTATATTCTAATACTTATTATTAATATAATTATTACTATTATTAAATACTACTGTACTGTAAAATAAATGGAATATTTAACGTAGTATTTGTATAATAAAATATAATATTAATAATAAAGTGTCATTTTAATAAAAATTAAATATTAAAATAAATATAATAGTTAAATAAATTCATTCATAAATGCATGAATAATCATGAACTATATTAAATTACATTTAAGAATTCATGAACTGTACACTACCAATGCAACCTTGTAATAATTATGATTTTTTTTTTATGCTTATGAAAGAAGTCTCTTCTGCTCACCAAGGCTGCATTTATTTAATGGAAAATACAGTAAAAACAGTAATATTGTGAAATATTACCATTTAAAATTTGATAGCGCATTAGAATGATTTCTGAAGGATCATGTGACACTGAAAATTGATGAAAATTCAGCTTTGCATCATAGAAATAAATTACATTTTACAATATATTCACATCAAAAAAAAAATTTTTTAAATCGTAATAATATTTCACAATTTTTACTGTATTTTTGATCAAATAAATGCAGCCTTGGTGAGCAGAATAAACTTTTTTTCAAAAACATAAATCTTAAGTATTCCAAACATTTGACTAGTATGTGTAAATTAGTCAGGGGTAATAAATAAATACTAGTACTACAACAAACGGGAAAGATTGACATTTATATGGACTACACACAAGAAAGTGCGTGATAGTGTAGAAGGATCTGCAAGCTAAAGGAGACTTTGTGTTTCACAATGAGCTTTGCAGTGTAATATATTGTGATTTGAGATGTTTTGAGGGCGTTTGCGGGTCGTTAGATGTGTGTGAGGGTCCGGCTGTGTCTGTACACGTTTGATCTTCACGTCTGTGATCTTCCATCACAAATCCTGAGGGTCTGCAGACCCCTGACATGACGACGTCTCGCCTGACTGCGTCTCCATCACAATGAAATGGAAGCGTTCCAGTGCGCTGAACACCAGCAGATCACTGCCATTACTTTCCTTCATCCTGAGAGATGATCGTCTGACAAAACGCAGCAGAGAGTAACAGAATAAACAGCCAGAGATCTGTTTCTCTGTGTGTTTCTGTAAGGGTGGAGCTGTATTCGTCTCTCAGCGATCAATGGTTGAGGTGCCAAAGCTCATAAAGTGAGGGAATGAAGCAATGGGAGGAGAAGGAAACGGGAGGAGAATGAAAGTTAGTTGCTTATGAGATCAAGACCACAAAGGCATCCTGTGATTGTTCACACTGATCTCTCTTATGATTCACGATTCAAGACGCTTTATTGTTGTGATTAAAATCAGCCATGTAGCTGAAGCTGTGTTATAATACTGATGTGTAATGGAGATAGTTCTGATTGGATGAGCTGCGTTTGAAGTCGTCGTATAATAGCTGGTTACAGTTCAGTTCTGTGTTTATGCAACAGATGTGACTCTTTACTTGCGTTTAGCGCTTTGGTCAGGGTTAGTTTTCTCTCTAGCGGAGCATCAATCAGTCTGGATCTGGATCAGGGTGAGTCAGGAATATTTCAGTAGTTTATCAGTATGTGAGATCAACAAATCAGATGGAGGAATATCTGGTCAGATATGAATACAGCCAAATGAAGTCAGTTTAGGGTCCCTATTGGTTACCATAACAAAAAAAACAAAACAAAAAAAATATATATATATTTGCCTGCAAAAACTATTTGCCTGCGTCATTTCTCATTTTTGTGTAAAGTTTAAGTGATAAAATATCTAAAAATAAAAATAGACATACTTAAAAAAACAAAACAAAAAATTTAAATATACTTTTCTTACAAAAATGATTATTGCTATTTTATATGTATATATATATATATATATATATATATGTATATATTTAATTTTCTTTACATTTTTTTTTCAATTTGTTTACAGTTTGTTTAAATCATAAACTGCAATATTTGTTAGTGGAGTAAAAAAACCACTTCATATGTGTCATATATTCTCTGGACATACAATAATGTTAAAAAAATCAGTATGTCTTGTGCATTTTACTTCTGAAATAAATGCATCTTGATTTAAAGATACTTTTACTGGAAAATAAAACATAAATGCTGAGAGATTTTTCCATACAAAAGTTCATAATGACTATATCAAGCTTCTAAAGAACAAGAAAAGCACAGCTAAAGCACCGTATTTGTAGTCCATGTGACTTGTGCACTATTTTAAGTCTTAAAAGGGGACCTAAAGCATAACAAAATATGGTTGAACAATGTATATAAG